GTTGTGTGGGGTGTGTGTGTGTGTGTGGTGTGTGGGTAGGTGTTGGAGCCAATTTAAGACAAACTGGGAACTGCTTGCAAGGGGGTGGCAGAGACAGGCAGTCTCCCATCTCCTGACACCAGCCAGTACTTAGAGGCCACCAGGGAGGGCCAGAGAAGGAGGGCAGAAAGAGGCAGGGGACTCATCAGTGGCTGGCAATTACACAGTGCTTTGTCATTCTTAATTAGCTCAGTGGCTCTGCAGCCAGCGATCTCCCAGGGCTGTCTTCCCTGGGCTGGGAGGATGCAGCTGCAGTTCACTGGTGACAGCAAGTGGGCAGGGCTGCTCAGGAGTGCCTCTCCAGATCCCCCAGACCCTGCCTTTCCTCCAGGGGCAGAGAGCACCCATCTATAAGATACATCAGAGACTAGAAAAACAGGAAGCATGACCTTGGCTGGGTTGTGGGCACTTCAAGATGCTCCCCAGGTGCTCCCCAGGTGCTCCCCAGCGGCTCCACAGAACCCTGGGAGCACGAGGTCTACTGGAGACCTACCTGTTCAACTGTTGTTGGGAACTGCCCACAGGCTCAATGTCACTACAAACTTAAGATGACCACGTCGCTGTTGGCTGGGCACCTGCTTCATGCCAGGCACTGGCTGATCACTCACGATGCACGAACCCCGAAAGCCTCTCAAAGCCCTTAAAGGTGGCCACGAGCCCACTGTATAGACAGGAAAACTGGGGCTTCAATTAGATTAGAAGGCACATATATAAATGGAGACTTTGGTTGCAGAAACCAGGCATGTAGAACTCCAAGGTCTGTGCATATGTGTGTGTGTGCAAGTATATGTAAATGTGTATGTGTACAAATGTGTGTCTGTGTATACATGTGTGCATGTGTTAGGGTAAGAAAAGTGGTATAAACAGAGAAACCCTGTCTCGAAAAACCAAAAAAAGAAAGAAAGAAAGAAAAAAAGAAAGAGAAAGAAAGAGAGAGAAAGAAAGAAAGAAAAGTGGCATAAGTAGCTGAAGTCTGGGTATTGAAGAGGCCACTTAGATTCTGTCACATGGTTGAGGAAGCCAAGAAAGGCTGGAACTTTCTAGAAAAGAAAGCATTGTAAGCAGGGAGGGTGGGCCAGATGAACAGGTTAGCAGGCAGGTTAAAGGTCAGAACTGTGTAAGGACAGGTTCCTTTTGGACGGCTGGCTAACCCTTCACTCAGATCCCCTTGGGGAGGCTGGTCTCCACCCAAGCAGCAGAACTCTGATAGCTGAGGTGAGGCCAGCCTGCTCAAGGTTCAGGCTAGTTCCTGTCTCCAGAGCATTCCCTTCCCCAGAGCCACAAGAGCCCTCTGTTTCATCTTCATCACTCATGGGGCAACGAGAATGGATTTAGTGTGCACACGGGTAGCACATAGACAGCTAACATAGACAGACAGGGCACAATAGGAATACGCCGCAGCCAACACCATGAGGTACAATCCCCACTTCCTCTGTCCCTGTGTGTGGCTTAGAAACAGCCAACATGTTCCTCACAGATCTGTGAGATACCAGCACCTTCAGGTCCAAGAGCAAGTGCAGGTGACTCCTGCCTCCTGAGTACCCACCTCAGGTGCTGCCCTCCGTGGGCTCTGCAAAGGCAGAGGGGCCTTTGTAACTCACACCATGCACCAGAGCAGTTTCCAAGACACACTTTCCTTCTGGAGAGCCCGTCTTCTAAAACTGCCTGTCAATGGATTCTGGGGAGACATAAATATCTGACCAACCACTCATGGCACCAGTTAGATGCTTTCGAGGAAACTGAGGCCCAAAGTATTTAAATAGTTTGTTTTTGTTTTTGTTTTTTTTTTGGCCGAAGGTCAACATCATGCCAGTCTCTTCCAGGCTAACTTGCTCTGTTCAGGTGACAGAGGAACCATAGGAGGAGGCTGACTCAGGGAAGCAAGAAGATTAAAGTTTTTATATTTTACTTATTCATTTTCCTGGGGGGCAGTAGGTGCAGAGTACTGTGTAGGTGTGGCGGTCAGAGGACAACTTTGAAAAGTGGATTCTTCTGCTTTGTGGGTTCTAGGGATTGGGCAGGGCTCTGGCTTCTCACTCAGGCTTCTAGCTCAGTCTCTATACAGAGAGGCTAATGGCCCAGCCAGCTTGACTTCTGCTCTCTCACCGGGGCCCTGGAGAAAACTCAAGAGGAGAAAAGAAACCGTTTGACTAAAACCAGAAGCTGTCTATCCCTGCTGGGATCACCTGCTTCCCACGTCACAGATTTTTATTTTGTCATTGCTAAGGGACTCTCAGTCATTGCAGAAGTGTTCGTAAAATTAGATCAGATAAGAGAAAAATTAAAAATAAAGCAAACAGGAGGGTGGGGTATGGTAGTGCATGCCTTTAAACCCAGTACTTAGGAAGCAGAGGCAGGTGGATCTCTATGAGTTCGAAGCCAGCCTAGTCTACATAGTGAGTTCAAGGACAGCCAGTAGTACATAGTGAGACTGTACCTCAAAAAATATAAATTAAAGCAAAACATCTCCCCTCTCAAAGCCCTAGAGGTCTGGGGATATATCTAGTAAGATGCTTGCCCTTGCATGTGTGAGAGACTCCATGGTCAATTCATGGTGCCACACACACTTGGCATGAGTGGCATGTCCCTGTAAATTGTAGCACTCGGAGGCAGGAAGATCAAGGTCGTCTTCGTTGGGCTACACAGTGAATCAGAAGCTTTCAAACAGAGCAAACCACCTTAAAGCCTTGTCTTGAATTCCGAGTATGGTTCCCAGTCCCTGTCCTGTAGTTTTAAGCATTCCAGTAGTGCATGTGGGATGCTAGAGCCCTGGCTGCTAGTCCTAGCCTGCTGTGTGACCTTGGGCAAGCTCCTGCTCCTCTCTGGGCCTTTGCCTCCTCACCTGTGAAATGAGGCTTTGGGCACAGCGACTCGGTGGCGGCTCCTTGCAGCTCTGACCTTCTGTCTCTACTTCTCTTTCTGTGCGCAGCAGAAGGGCCCCCAGCAGTCTGCCCCTCTGCAGGTGATACATGCCTGACAACTCCCAGCAAGTCACCTCCGGAAGGACACGAAGCTGCTAAACAGTCTTTTCTGCCCACACACAGTTCCCAGGCAGGTCTGATTACCGGGTCCATATGTCTCCCCGGCCAGCCAGACACCACCGCTGCTGCTCATGGCCCTGGTGACTGTTTTCCCTCCAGGCTCCAAAAATCTCTCTGCTGGTCTATGTTCTAGCTGACCCTGGACAAGAAAGCTGGGGGGGGGGTGTTCAGCTGTCATCTCTCTACTCACTTCCAGAGCCTTCTGAGTGGACAGATGACCAACAACCTGGTATGGTAGCAACCTGGAGAGGTCGGGAGAAGGAAAGAGCAGGCCTCCCCGCTGACAGCCCTCCAACTCCGTACCGTAGTGTCCTTGAGGTCATGCCCTCTGATGCATGGGGGATAACGGAGAACAGGATTATAACATTCCAAGTTGAAAGCTGTGGGAACCCATGGGGAGAAATCTAACCCAGAGAGAGTGATCCAGGAGAGCTTCCTGGAAGAAGTGGGTGGCTTTTTGAGGGCAGGATTTATCTTCCTTAACCCCAGCCACACAGGATAAGCCCAATGGAAAAGGTCTTATTGCTTCCTTTACAGATGAAGCTTATAATGGCCAGACCACGCCCCCCACCCCACCAGGACAACTGGGCTCCCACTGGGGCATCAGTCTCTGACTCTCAGGGAACCGCAGGTGTGTTTCCTGCTGTAAAGGAGGCTGTGGCTGGCTGTACTGTCCACTCAAGCTGAGCTCTTGGAACAGACAGGAGGTTTAGAAAGAGTGGAATGTGAGCCAGGCGTCCCTGTGCAGCCAGAGCACACAGCATGTCTGTCTCCCAGCCAGGGTAGATCTGCTGGCTTCTAAAACTACCCAGAGCCCCCAGCTGCGTGGCTGAAGCAAAGCTTCTGGAAGCCAGGTAGCGAGCACCAGTCTCCTTTGGGCACAGGCTGAACCAAGGGTCAATTTTTTTTTTTTTTTTTTTTTTAGAATTCTTTGTCATTTGGGTTTTTTGAGGCAAAGTTTTACTCTATACCCCAGGATGCCTTGGAACTTGCAGGAATCCTCCTGCTTCAGCTCCCTAAGCGCTGTGATTACCAGTCTGAGCCTTCGCTCCTGGCTCTAGAGTTAAATTAGCAGTTTCCTGGAGCAGGAGCAGGTGTGCTGTCTCAGAAGCAGGCTGGAGCAGGGTTACACACAGAGCGCCTGCCCAGGCAGGTCGGTGGGTGTACTACAGATAGGATCACGCTTCATTTGACAGATATCATGACTCAGAGCAGGGAAGGACAGTCTGGGTCACACAGCAAGCCTGAGTCTGAGTCTCAAGCAGTAGCTCCGTTAAGGCTGCCATGACCCTGAGACTTTGAGGACAGCTAAGTAAGCTGCTAAGGGCATCTACCAATACACTCACGATCCTTCCCAGCAAAATTCACGACCTTCATTCCCTCATTCAAAGACTCCCATTGCTTGGGTGAGCCCCTCCCTCATATTTATTTAAATTAACTATTTACATTTATTTTGTGTATGTATACAATGGGGGAGGGTGTCACCGTTAGCTCCTGGAGGTCGGGGGACAATTTGCAGGAGTTGGTTCTCTTCTTCCACCGAGTTGTCTCCAGGATCATCATCAAGCTTGGCGGCAAGTGCCTTTATCCACTCGACCATCTTGTTCCTATCTCCCATTTTTCTTTCTCTTATTTTTGAACAAGACCCTTAACGTTCTACCCGTCACTTTTCCCATCTGTGAAATGGTATCCAGGTGCCTTTTAGCCGAGCTATCTAGAAGGCCACGGGATCCCGTAGTTTGGGGACGGGGAAGGACACTGGTGGGTTTAGAGCCTAGGAACACAGCGCGTGCAGCCTCGGAGCTGGTCCAGGTCGGGGAGGGGCGGGACCGCGCTCTGGGGGCGTATCCGGGGGCGTGTCTGTGGGCGTAGCTCCCTGGCCCCGCCCCGAGACGTCGCTGGGAGGGCGGGGGAGGAGCGCTGCGGGCGCGCGCCTCCTGGCCCGGAGGAAAGTTTTCCTGGAGGAGTTTTGGCGGCGGCAGCGGCGGCGGCGGCGGCGGCGGCAACCGGAGCGGGCCATGGACGCGCTCAAGTCGGCGGGGCGTGCGCTAATCCGGAGCCCCAGTCTGGCCAAGCAGAGCTGGGCGGGCGGCCGGCACCGCAGTGAGTTTGTGCGCCCCGGGTCGGGCCTCCGCCGAGCTCGGGGCCAAGGTGGACAGGGTGGCTTCGTCCCGCCCCGCGCGGCCGGGCCCCGGGGGTCATGTCCGGCAGCGTCTGGGGCGGGTCGGCGGGGAGCGGGCGGAACTCAGGGTCTTCAGGTGCGTCGCGAAAGGGACGTCTAGAATCTCTCTACCCACTCCAGCACAACCCATGGGGTCCCCTCTGGACGCTGAGTCCCACAGGTCCTTGCCCCTCGGGGCGATCCCAGCCCGGGTGCCACCCAAGGTCCCGCTTCCTCCCCTCTGGACGCGTCCAGGTGGCGAGGCTGGAGTCCAGGCTGTCTTCAAACCCTGTTTTCCTCCGTACCTTCCCTTGGGGGCTGGTCCAAGTCTCTGGGCACCTAAGCAAAAGACAGATTCAGACTCGCTGCCGCTTCTCCCGGGAGTCTGGAAGGGCGGAGAGGAGCCTCCCCCAGCCACCTCTCGGGTTACTTTCTGAGAGCCGTCACCTGGCACCCTCCCCTGAGGCCTGAGAAGCCTAGCTCAGGTCCCTCCCTTTTCATTCGTATGGGATCACCCAGGCCTTCCCTTCCTGACGTGAAGCCAAAGCACCTGAACTCCGGGCGCACCCTCACCTGCTACCTACCTGGGCCCCCCCACCTCTCCCACTAACAGTAACCCCCTCCCCACCCCCAGCTTCTTGCCAGCACCTTCCCTTGCCCGGCTCCACCAGGGGAGCCCGAGTTCCCTGGTCCCTGGAGCGCCAGCGTGTCTGGGCCTCAGGAGCCCGCCCTGCCCCTCCTCTTTCCCACTGTGGTGTTCCAGCTGTGGGCTCCTCCTAGCCCTGACTGGCATCGGGAACGTGTGCTGGTGCCTACTGGTGGGGGTGGGGTCAGAGGCCCCTTGGGCAGGGCATGTACTGTCTTCCACACTTAGAACCAAAATAGCCCTTCAAAAATTCGTGGGATGTGACCAGGGCTTCTGAGCATGACCTTTCAGTGGATGAGCCCTGTGGTTTTCTCCTGGGACAAGAGGGAGAAGGGTTGGTGGGGAAGAGTTCTGAGGGGGAGGGAGCCAGGAAGCAGAGAGGAATCTAGGGGAGCAGGGTACATTTTGGATGGTGAGAGGGTTCCCTGCTCGCTCCAGTCTAAGCCAGGTCACTTGTTCTTAATGATTCTGTTTCCCAGCCTGGAAAATAGGGATAAAATTCCTGTGGGGCTGGGGATATGTGTGTTATGTTTGGTATAGTGCTTGCTTTAGCTTGCAGGAAGCTGGTGGTACTAAGTTCTCGGTTCCAGTATCAGCACTAAACAAATCAGGTGTAGCTGTACATGTCTGTACTCCCCGAACTAGGGAGTTGGAAGCCTAAGAATCAGAAGTGCAAGGTCACGAGGTGTTGGATAGTGAGTTTGAGGCCAATCTGGGGATAGGCGTTAGTTAAGATTTGCTAATCTATTTTACAGGTTGGTGATAAGGTCTCATGTTGCCCAGGCTGGCCTGGGACTTGCTATGTAGACCAGGTGTGCTTTGAGCCTCTGTCTCCCTCAGTGCTAGGATTAAAAAGGTTTGCATCACCAGATATATATGTCCATGTGCTCTGGGCTCCACCTGATTCTTACCAGGTTTGCCAGCTCTGAGATGGAGGTCTCTGCCTGTCTGTACCCTGGCGGGGTGCAGAGCTCGCCTCTCTCCCTGCTTCTCCCTAAGCTCTGTGCTCAGAACGAGCTTCCCAGAAGCCTGGCCTATCTTTGGTTAAGTGTCAAGTTGGTAATCTTACTTTGCCTGGAAGAGTGTTGCTTGTCTGGAGCATCTGTGGGAGTGTCACTGTGTGGTTTACTTGCCTAGCGGTGGTCTCAACATGGCCATACTCCAGCTTCTGTCTCTGGTCTTCTGTTAGCTCAGCGGCTCCTGGGAGGTGACAAGGCTTGGGATTCTTATCTTCACACCCATTTTAGAGACAGGACGGGGAAATGAAGTCCGTAACTCTAGCCACAGAGCATGGCCTGAGGCAGCACTTCCCTAACCCAGGGATCTTAGCTGTATACCTTGGGTTTTCTGGCTGTTGAGGGGCAAGCCTCACCCCAGGTTTGTCTAGCTGCCCCCCAGGACCAGTGTGGACACAGGTTAGAGAGGAAAGCCTTGGATGTGTCCAGCATGAAAGGTTAGGACCTAGCCAGCCCTTGGGTCTAGCTTTCAAGATCAAAGGGCAGAGCCTGTTAGATGGGAAAAAAGACTTGCCCTCAAGCAGGAGGACCTGAGTTCGATTCCTGTGCTCCACTTGGAGGAAAGAAAAAACCGATTCCCAGAAGTTGTGACCTCCATACATGCACACGGCCTCCTCTTCTCAACGGACATACTAAATATTAAAAAAAAAAAAAAAAAAAAGAAAAGGAAAGCTCAGAGGACAAACCAAAGCTGGGGGATTCTGGGTAGAAATGAGAAAGAGAGGCTTAGAGGGAGCTGTAGCTTGCCTGAGCACAGACCTGCTGGCCTTCCCACCGACCTGGGAAGAGGGCTCCTCCTCATGGCCACTTTCCCCATCTCTCTGGGAACCAGAAAGATCTTTGTTGTGGTTTTATGAGACAGGGTTTCTCAGTGGAGTCCTGGCTGCCGTGGAACTCACTCTGTAGGCCAGGCTGGCCTCAAACTCAGGGATCCCCCTGCCTCTCTCTGCCTCTAGAGTTCTGGGATCAAAGGAGTGTTCCACCACCTCACTGGTCAAAAGATTGTATCTCAGCTCCTGGTCAAGAATTTTCCCCAGCTCAGCGGTATTCTTCCTAAAGGTCCTGGGGTCACTGTAACCATCATTCCTTTATGGGTTGTGCTAAACAGTCAGAGACCGCCCCCCCCCCCAAAAAAAAAGACAAATATAAGGTACATGGTCCAGTAAAGTGACTCTAGGTGGGGGCCTACTCATAGACCTGTAGGCATGTAAATACGGCTGGGCATAATTCTTTAATTGCAACACTGGGGAGGCAGAGGCAGGCGGATCTGTGAGTTCTAGGTCAGCCTGGTCTATAAGCCAGTTGCAGGACAGCGAGAGCCACATAATAGAGATAACTTGTCTCAAAACCAAACAGAACAGTGTATCTATACCTTCCACAATGATAGAGGCACTGTGAATCTGAGTGTGTCCCCTGATCTTGCGTAGTGTGACTTTAGTTCTCAGTTCTGGTGGAAGAAGGGACAGGGGGAGAAGGCCACAGACAGTTGGTGGGGGGTAGGGGTGGGACTAGCATAGAATGCTAGCAGTAAGATATAACCACAGAGGGGCAGCCTTTTCAGATAGTAGTGACTGTGCTAGTCTAGAAGTAGCTGTGGAGACATGGGTTTCCCAGGACAGCTGAGAAGGGAAGGAAGCCCCAGTAGTAGAAGGTGGGGCAGCCCCGGGCACTTAGTTCAGAGGTTCCTCAGGGTAGAGTCAACCCTAAGCTGTCTTGTTTCTGAATGGCTGGAGGATGTTACAGAGACCAGAGTTCCCTCCTTTGTGCTGCACCACAGGACACATGGTACCTCCAGCAGCCAGACTGCAGGTACTAGTGTCAGTGACAAAGTGCTCTGCACAGAAGGGACCAGAGTACTAGGCCCTAGCAGCTACATCTCATGAGAAGGTGACCTGGAAGACACAGGTGAGCTTAGGGAAGGGAAAAGGCAGGAAGAACATTTGGCCTGTGGAACTGCAGTCCTGGGGGGACATTGAAGTAGAGGCTCCTCTCAGTCTGGTTACTGAGGGAGGGACAGGATGTTTGAGGAGTCGGTCACCCTATGTTGACAGAGGTCAGATGCTCTCTTTGGGTGCCGTGACATGTGTCACCCCTGCCTTGCATGGGAAGGGACTTGGTAGTTGCCGGGTCTTTCGGCTGCCGCTTAGGGCCCCTTGTTTATATTTCTTGCCTGTGCTGTGACATAGTGACTTCCCATAGAGCTCAGTAAGGTGCCACGTGTGCACTAAAGCCCTTTGTGCTTGAGGGGTGGCAGTGACAGTGGCTGGTACTCACGGGGCTCTGGTGTGTGCCAGGCAGGGTCACGTGCAAGCTCATCTGCCCTCACGACAGCGCCGCGGAGTGGGTACTGTTACCCACTTCAGAGCAAGGAAACTGAGGCTCATGGAGCTGAGGGACTGAATCTCCTCTCCTTGCCCACGAGAATTTATTTCTTCCCGTGTGTGTAGATATGAGGGACCTCTGGCTGGGGTAACAGTCAGTTATTCATTTTTAAGAACAATCTTGGTGGCTTTCACTTCTGAAATTGGCTTAGTCCTGTTTTCTGGAGGGGGATGGGGTGTTTAGGCCGGGTGTCTCTGTACGTGGCCCTGACTGTCCTGGAACTCAGAGATCCACTCGCATGCATCTGCATTTGGAAACTTTCTGCCATGGAGATCCTAAAGGCCTCACTGAATTTGTCCAAGGTGACCATGTTCCTGGCAGGGCAGAGTTTAGGCTCCCTCCTAAGATGTCCCTGCAGTTTCCTAGATACCTTCACTGGGCTTGGGACCCAGGCTGGGGCCCTGGGCAAGGCTTATCCTCACCGCGCCTGTGGATTGGCTACAGCTCTGATGTTCAGACACCACCCAGCCAGGTCTTCTAGGCAGTGAGGGGCAGGGCAAGACGCCCATGTAGCCCCAAGTCGTCTTGGGGCCTTAACAAGGAAGGAGCATGTGGTGCCATCTGAAGCTAGATTGGACATGTGGTCTGTCCCCAGCTAATTCCCACAGCAGGTCATCTGTAAAATTACAAAATGAAAATAGCGTAGTCATTACCCACCACAGGGCTGAAAATAACTCGGACAGGAATAAGGCTTTGGGTGCAGGTCTGTGTTTGCCCAGAGACCTCTGGGAGCTCTGCTTGGGAAGGGGTGCAGCCGTGGCTCCTTGCTGTTTGTGGTGTCTGGTGGTAGGAGACCACACTGGTCTGTCTGTTTGTCTCAGAACACTTTACTGGGGAAGTTGTGGCTGCCAGAGGCCTCAGTGAACAGCAAGTCACGTGCCCAGAAGCACAGGAGAGGAGACCGTCCTGCAAAGACAGGCAGGCAGACACAGCAAGAGTAGCTCTCAGCCCAGAGGCCGGTCCAGTTCCTGGTACTGCGGCCTGAGGAGCAGACCGGAGGGCAGGGCCTTTGAAGAAAGGCAGGCAGAGCCTTGCTGGGCCGTGGGTGATGCCGCTGCAGGTGGACTCAGTAGGGCTGCAGCAGCAGTAGCCAGGATTGGGAGAGCCTGCATAGACCTGCCCCAGGGCCTCAGTGTCCCACCTTATCACACCTTGTCTTGTTACGTCATCACAGTTTAGACAGCCCCGTGGGTCCCGGAAGGTTGCTTTCTCTATTTTATTTTATCCTTGAGACAGTCTCACTATGTAGTTCTAGCCGGCCTGCAGCTATGTCACGGGTATGTAGACCAGGCTAGCCTCAAACCCACCTAGTAGGATTTGAGGCACGTGTCACCATATCCCCCCTTTATTTATTTTTTTAGATTTTTAAAAATTTTTATTTTTTAGTAATGTGTGTACATGTACATGCACATGAGTGCAGGTTCCCACAGAAGCCAGAGAGAGGTGTTGGATCTGCTTCAGGCTGGAGTTAGGAGTTGTGAGCTCTCTAACCAGATCCCCTCAGCGTCATCATCACCATCATCACCATCATCACCACCATCACCATCACCACCATCACCACCACCACCATCACCATCACCACCATCACCACCACCACCACCATCATCATCACCATCATCATCATCACCATCATCATCGCTCTTAACTGCTGAGCCGTCTCTCAGCCTCCGTTTCTTTTTCTTTTTTTTTTTTTTTTGAGACAGTCTTATGTATGCCAGGCTGGCCTCTGACTGGCTGTAGAGTCAAGGATGACATTAAACATCTGATCCTCCTGCCTCTACTTCCCAAGTACTGATTACAGCATGTGCCACCATACCTGGTTTATGCAGAGCTGGGGATTGAGCCCAGTGCCTGCTGAGCAAGCACTCTACCAATAAACAACACCCCTAGATTCCTTTCCCCCATTTTATAGATGAGGAAACTGAGGCTCATGGAGCTCTCACTCAGAGTCACTCAGAGTATTAAACTAAGGGCCTCGAGGTAGCTTGCCTGCTTCTGATTAGGCGCCCCGGGAGCGGCTGGGCGTGTGGATGGCCGCACAGCTCTGGCTGTCCCGGAACTCACTCTGTAGATCAGGTTGGCACCAAACTCACAGAGATCCGCCTGCCTCTGCTTCCTACGTGCTGGGATTAAAGGTTTGTTTCTGATACAAGATCTCAAGGTGCAGTTTAGGCTGGCCTCTAATTTAGAATCCTCCTGCCTCTTCACGAGATTACAGAAGGGCGCTGCCAGCCTGTGTCGGAAGGAGCATTTGGATATTGAGAAAGTAGATGTTGCAGTAAGTGGTGAGCCTGTGGGGGCAGGGCAAGTGCACGCATGCGCGTACGCGTGCGTGCTTGGAGTGGAGGGAGGAGCTTTCAAATACCCAGCTTTCGCTGTGGGCATGTCTTCTGACTTGCTTTGTGATCCTGCACGGGACTTCTCTGGGCTTCAGTTGTATCCTCTGCCAAGTAAAGGCTTAGACGGAGAGTCTCTGAGGCTGGTCCTGGAAGCCAGTGTAGGAGGAGGCGGAACCATAGAGAAAGGGTCAGAGGAGGCGGAACCATAGAGAAAGGGTCAGATCAGGGAGGGAGGGAAGTAGAAACATGTCAAGCATTTGAGGTCGAGGAGGAGAGAATGTTTTGACAGCAAAGGGATCACCAGTGACCTTGGCAAGCTCTGGCCCTTTGGAATGAAGTGAGCGGAAGTGGCTTTGGACAGAGGCCAGGAAAGGGCTGAGCCAGAGGAAATGGGAGAGTGGGACCCAGAGGTAGGGGAAGGATGTTTGCCTTTAGGCAGGGATGGATAATGAGAGAAGGCCACTCGTGATTGATTAGTATTGCCTGCCTGTGGCCATGGTAGAGAAACAGGGAGGCATTGCTGCCTACTAGCAATATCTGCCAGTGTCTGCCAAGGACACGGGCACTGGGCATGGGTGGGTCTCAGGTTGGAAGTGATGGGCTGGATACCTTGTCTGTGAAGGAGTGGCAGCACTGGTTATTAGGAGATACCTAAGGACCTCTCTCCAATCTTTGACTAAAATGGAGGTAGTTTGCATTCTGGCAAGTTAGAGTTCTGTGGACTCCAGTTCCCCGGCTGTAGACTGGCACAAAAGGCCTGCAAGGCCACTGTCCCTGGACTGTTGTTTGAAATAGCGGTTCTGCATGTCCTGGAGCTATCACCATGAGCCTTGGTCTTCCTGAGCAGGGAGTTGTTCCGGAGTCCCCATTGCCTGACAGAGAACTAGAGTCACCATGGGGCCTCTCTGCTCCCTTTTGGAGGATCTAATGGATCGAACGTCGTGTTGGGCTTTAGGGTCATCTGAGTTGGGGCTCCGCCTCATGTTTGGGGATGAGGCCCAGAGGGCAGTGTGTCAAACGTAGCTGAGGTTGAGGGCGTTCAGGACATCTCTGCAGTCAGTAAACATTGCCAGCTGTGTGCTGGGCTCTGGGCGAGCCGTCAGCCAAGTTCCTGCTTCCTTCAGTCTGAGAGGAGGCTGATGCTTGCAGGTCTCCTCCTGTCCCCACCCAGGAACATACAGTGGTCGTGGGGGACAGTGTCTTGCTCAACACATAGCGTGAGCTGTGAGCCCCTCGGATGAAGTGAGAGCTCCTGGACCCCAAGGCTCTGGGAATGGCCGAGGAAGGCTACAGGCAATCCAGAGGGGGCAGGGTCATGGTCCTGTCCCTTGAGCCCAGGATTCTGCCTACTCCTGACAGTACAGGAATGTCCTAAGCCTGTATCATGGCCTTTCCCTCATAGCTGGCCGGAAGGCAAACGGCTTCTGTGTGGGATGGGCAGTCACATGAGTAGCTCCTATGGGTGAAGTATCTGTGGGGTGACAGGAGGGGCTCTGACAGGGCTGTGTGCTCACCCCCAGTGACATCACTCTCTTAAGTAAGCTTGGCTCCTTAGCCTCAGTTCCAATGAGGAATTAGGGGATGGCCAAACCTTCTCTTGGGGCCCTTACTCCCGCTTGACCTCAGCAATCCTTCCTGCACGGGGGCCAGGTGGGTCCCCTCTCAACTCTCCCCTGCCCTCTCTCTGAACCTAGGCTCACCCCTCCTTTTTGGTGGCATCTAACTCTAGCCCCTCTCCTTGGGTCACTGTCTCTTTGCTGGTGTTCACTCCCAGACCACCCATCTCTAAACAAGTGTGGGGCTGGAATGTTCCAGCTGTGGGAAACTCTGCCTGTGTTCGCCATGGTAGCTGTTGGCCCACGCCTTCAGCTCCTGACCCTCAGTTTCCCTATAATTCCCTCTCAGAGAATCAGACTGAGGGCTCAGGGAGGAGGTGGGACCATGTGCCCTCAGCACTGACATTGAGTTTGGGTTCAGGAGATGGCCTAGCCCAAGTCTCAGTTGGACTTCCTGGTCTTCAAGCCGCTGTCTGCGGTGTGTGTGACAGGTTGTGGGTGCCCCTAAGGCTGAGGGGTCAGTGCCTGTGAAGCTGCTGAGGTGTTGAGTAGGCTGGGAGGTACCAGTCAGAGTGAGGATGGGGGCACCCGGGGCCCTTTGTAGGCATGCTGAGGAGGTGGGCGGCGAGAGCTAGTCCTGTTCAGCACACTGAGGGATGCCTGTCCTGTCCTAGAGTTGCCAGAGAACTGGACAGACACTCGGGAGACACTGCTGGAGGGCATGGTTTTCAGCCTCAAGTACCTTGGTATGACACTGGTGGAGCGGCCCAAGGGTGAGGAGCTGTCTGCAGCTGCTGTCAAGAGGATCGTGGCCACAGTGAGTGTCCCAGACTTCAGGCCAGGAGCCCGGGACAGCTCTCCTGCCCCAGTTGCCCTTGTCCCCAGGTAGGATCTGTATGACACAATTTTGAGCCCAGCCCACCTTGGGTCTCCTGTGTCCAGCTCATGGGTATTTATAGAGATTGCCTTTGTGTTCGGGAGATAGTCCGCATCCGCCTTTCAGACCATCCTGAAGCTCGGCTGTTTCCAGCCGTGAGTCCCCGCATCAGGCCGGTGACTCACTAGCTCCAAGGAGGGAAGGAAGTTGTTCCCATTTACCATGTCCCCACTGCTTGGCCGTGAAGCCCAACAGAGTGTCTTCTCCCTACCTGTGAGTGAGTGTGGGCCCTTTAAGTCAGCTCCCTAGGGTGGCCTTGACCTGCAGCTCAGGCCCTGTCATGTGTTTGGAGCTGGGTCCCAGGTCGTGGTGCTGGACTGTGGCAGTACCTCAGTCATCTCTCCAGCGTCGTCCCTCCCCCACTACATGTCCTCGGGCCAGTCCAGCTCTTCCCCTGGGAGTCCCTGTCTTCCTGGACAGGGAGGTGTCGGTCCCCTCCTGTGAGGGCCAGTGCTTACCAGGCATCAGCTCATGGCTGAGGGAAGTCAACTGAGGAACTGAAGCGGAGGCCACGGAGGAATGGAGCTCACCAGCTTGTTCCTCATGGCTTGCTCGGCCTGCTGTCTCCAACAGTCCAGGACTACCTACCTACCCAGGGGCAGCCCCCGCCCCCCAGGTCTTTCCCACATCAATCACCAGTCAAGGAAGTGCTCCCACAGACTTGTCTCTACAGGCCAGTCTGATGGAGGTGTTTTCTTAATTGAGGTTTCCCTCCTTCCAGTTGATCTTTGCTTGTGTCAAGTTTACAAAAGCTAGTCAGCACCGGGGTGCCAGTGTCCTCCCCAGGCCCCAGCTAGTCATCTGTGCAGTGAGATACAGCCCATCAGACAGCCTTCCTCTCACCCCTGTGTGCCCCTAGGCCAAGGCCAGCGGGAAGAAGCTGCAGAAGGTGACACTGAAGGTGTCACCCCGGGGGATCATCCTGACCGACAGCCTCACTAGCCAGCTCATTGAGAACGTGTCCATTTACAGGTACGCTGTCTGTGCGGGGACTGGCTCGTGTCTACTCTGCCACTCGAGGGGATGTTCGGAGTGTCCTGTCCGAAACTAGATCTTACAGCTTTCTCTCTGGGCCCCGGGAACCTGAGTTCCCCTCATCTGTAAAATGGGCTGGGGACAGGCACTGCCATCCTGTGTGGTTATGTAGTGCCACTGTTCTCAGGGAGGCTGGGGTAGTGGGCACAGCTGTTCCCTAAGCAGCTGAAGTGGCTCAGAGGACCTGTGCTGAGTCAGGCTGGGAACACACAGCTGTGAAATCTGCCAGTTCTTTCTGCCTGAGCACAGTGCTCAGCCCCCGTTGTCTGGCTCAGTGTCCTAGTGAGGCCTGGTGTAGGATCTGGGGCAGTAATGGAGACCTTTCCTCCCTGGTCCCAGGGGAGGTAGGATCTAGCTCCAGAGGCTTCAGGCTACCCCACTTCTTTCTCAGCTGGTCAGGTGTAGGGGTACAACACTGGGAAGAGGCAGCCCAAATCCATGTTATCCATGGAGAAGCTTGAGGCCCAGAGAGGGAGAGGCCTGAGACTGTGCCATGGGGTAGAGGCTTGGTTGGGACTAGTACACCAGCTAGAGCTCTGTCTTCCCAGGTTCCAGGACAGGGTGGGGCAGGCACGGGTGTGCTGGAGTGCTTCCCGAGGGCCAGGCGGCTGCCTTTACCCCACCGGCTCCCTTAGCCAACACTTGCAAGTGCCTGCTTAGCCTGTGCCCTGGGCACTTCCAGACCAGAAAGGAGTGGAGGAAGGTCATAGGAGACAATGCTTCCCCAGAAAGAACATAAGGGGAGTGTTCCAGTGGGAAACCCAGGAGAACCTCCCAGTGGTTGTGGCTCCTTACAGGATCTGACTGATGGCTTTCCAGAAGTGAGGGATGGTTAGCAGGAGGCCAGATGCCTAGGATGGAAACGCCTTTGGGGACTCCCCTCCTGGGGATGATCAGTGGTTTTATCACCGCTCCAGGTGTACTAAAATCTGGGACTGTGTTGGTGACTGGTGAATCCGCTGAACTGCCCCACCCCTGAGCCAACAGCCCCTCCCCTAACCGTGGGTCTCAGGATAAATAGAAGAAGGGGAGGTTAGAGGTGGTGGGCGGAGAGGCCAGGAGCTGGTCTCCCCTGCACCCCCTCGGGCTCCTGGGTGGGTCATCTCCACATATGCCCGGCCCCAGTCTCAGTCCTGGCTCCACCCCGGCCTCCTGGGAGATGGTCCTGGATTGGTATCTGGTTGGCATAGGGCAGTAGTTCTCAACCTGTGGGTCAAGCCCTCTTTAGGGGAGGGGCCGAACGACCATTTCACAGGAGTTTCACAGGAGTCACCTAAGAGCGCTGGAAAACGGGTGTTTACATTACGATTCATAACAGTAGCAAAATCACAGTTATGAAGTAGCAACAAAAGTAATTTTCTGGTTGGAGCCAGCACAGCGTGAGGAGCTGTATTGAAGAGTTGCAGCATCAGGAAGGCTGAGAGCTGAAGTATGTGAAAGGCTGTGGTAGGCAGGACGGGGTTTTGCTGCCCCTTCCAGCCGGCGGACACCGACCCTTCGGGATTGTGGTTCTGAGTTCACATCCCGGCTCAATCAACAGCACTGTGTCCCAGACGCCTGGCTCTGAGGGTCGCTCAGACATTAAACAAGGAAGAATCTGTAGGGCCCTGTGGTGCATTGGCTGGTGTGCAGCTACGTTTGGATGTTCCTGTGAGGGGTGTGACTCAGTGTGGTCTGGAGAGAAAAAAAGGCAAAGAGACTTCCTTCATTTCTTATTCCCATCTCCCCTGTGTGGCCTGAGTCTCTCCCTGGAGCTGGCTCAGGATGACAGAGGCTTGCCCTGGTGGAGACCAGGCAGCAGGCTCTCTGGGACCCAGGAGAGGCTCATCCAGATGTGGTCAGCTGCACATCCAGATGTGATGAGGTGCCATGCAGGCCTGGTGATACTTCTTGCCTGCTTTCCAGGATCTCCTACTGCACCGCAGACAAGATGCATGACAAGGTGTTTGCATACATCGCCCAGAGCCAGCAGAACGAGAGCCTGGAGTGTCACGCCTTCCTCTGCACCAAGCGCAAAGTGGTCAGTGCGAGGGCCAGGCCCAAAGGACTGGTAACAGGGACTTAAAAACAGGAGGAGATCCCTAGGAATCTCAAGTGGGTGTGAGAGGACCGGGGGTTGGAGTCGGGCTGTGACTGGCTGACTAGCTGGCTGTGGGCAGTAGCCATGTCCCCTGGAAGCACCTGAGTGTATTCCTCTCAGCAGTTGGTTGGGTTTGAGGCTGTGACGGTCATGAAGTAGTCTTGGATTGCAGGCTTTGTAGGGATTAGCTTTTGGAGGTGAGAAACGGAGGGACCTGGTAGAAGGTAAAATTGAGAATCTGTTGGGCTGGGTTTTCTGGGGTCACACTTGGGAGGCAGATGGCTCCTTCCCAGCCCCTCTCTGTGCTCACTGTGGAGCTGGGTTTCCCTGTTTTCCTTTAGTCTCCAGGGCGGTTCCATAAGGTGGGAGTGGTTAAGGTCTCAGTTGCTTTTCCTTTAGCCTTTTAATTACAATAAAACCCAGCCCAGAGCTAGCTTGCTCATGATGACGCAGCCAGCCAGGTGCAAAGCGAAGCTCTGAGCCCACAGTCCTTCTCCTCTGACTGCCTGAGAGGCTGATAGCTTCCTGTCTGCACCCCGTGGCCACATCTGATGGGGCTAAGTGGCCACCAGCCTGTGCTGTGACTGGGGAGGAGCCAGCGCTGTTCTGACCTTGTTGACACTGTTTTCTGGGGCTTTTGAGGATCGAGTGTGAGGAGGCTCCTGCTGCCTCAGCATCTGTATCTGCTGACAGCTCGGACCTGATCCCCAGGCCCGTGCGTCTCAGAGATGAGACCCTTTCTTTCCCTCACACTGGGAACTCCAGTCTCTGGGACCCCATGTTCCTAACATCAGAGGAGTTTCTAAAGGCTGCAGGAACAAATGACAGCAAGCAGTGACTCAAACCAGCGTAGATTCTTCCTCCTTCCAGCCCTGGGAAGAGGCAGGCTGGAGTAGGAGAGCGGGCGCATTTCTTCAGCAGTTCTGGAGAGCCACGTCTCACGATCCTGCTTTCTAAAGCACCTTCATGGTCTAACAACAGTCCTTGGGCCCAGCCTCCATTTTCAGAGGCAGCTGTGTTCCAGTCTGTCTTAGTCACTGTGACGAGATACTATGACCAAGGCAACCCTTGTAAAAGGAAGCATTTAACTGGGAACTTACTTACAGTTCAGAAGTTTAGTCTATTATTGTAGCAGGAAGCAGGCAGCATGCAGCCCCTAGAACAGTAGCTGAGAGCTACCACCGGATCCAGAGACAGCAACATTGGGCCTTGTGTGGGCTTTTGACTTCCTCCAACAAAACCACGCCTCTTAATCCTTCTCAGACAATGCCGCTCCCTGGTGACTGAGGGGTACTGGCCGGCCTTAGTCAGACCACCACAGTGCACATTCTCCATACTGCTGCTTCTCTGACCATCCCTTTGAGGCCCCTGTGGTGATAATGGCCACTGCATAACCCAGATTAACACCCTTCCCCCATTTTAACACCCTTAACCTAAACCCACCTGTGAGGCTCTGTTGCTGCGTGCAGGACACCCAGAAGAATGGTAACAGCCAACATGCAGTGTGACCGTGGGTGAACCCTGCCCTTCTCTGGCCTGCTTATCTATCAACATAATGAGAAGGTCACCTCAGTGTCCCTTAGGGTTGTTCCAAAGGCCCCATTTCTTTTGCATGCCTGATGATTTCCTTGTAGGCTCCATGCTCCCAGCCATCCACCTGGGGTCCTGCAGGGACCTCAGCAGTGTTGGCTTCTCCCATGACTGCCTGGTTCCCACAGATGGCAGGCAACTTTGGTATGAATGAGGCCACATTGACTTAAAAATGTAAACTTACTGGGTCCCCATTGTTTGCTTCTTCCTCTCCACAGAGCGGAGCACACCAGGCAGGGCTGCTGGCCCTAGATCACTGCGCAGGGCGGGCACTCATGGGAGGGGCATTAGCAACGGGAAGCAGCTCGCTCCAAGGTGCATTCTTGGAGTGAGGCAGAACAGGCCCAGGCCCAGCCATTCAGAGGGAAGCCTGGGCCCGATGACAATACACAGCCTGCCCCAAGTTGGTGGGCATTGCTGACAAAGCCAGAAGCCGGCTACCTCATGGCTGTGCCTAACAGCTGCGTGGGTTGGGGGCAGGGCTCTTGCTGGACACCCAGCTGTTTGTCTGCATGGCCTGGCTGTGATCTGCCTTCCACCCATCTCTACCTTTTGTCATCCAGGGTTCCCAAGCCACTCTGGAGTGGCATAGTTACCTCCCAGGGTTTCAAGACCTTAGCTGGGCTCCAAGCCTATAGCTCTGAGGGCCAATGGTGTGGATGACCTGTAGGCCTAAGATTCCCTGATTATCTGAAGGAGATGCAGGGATGAGTTGGTACCCTTGGCTCTGCCCTACCTGTTGACAGTCCAATCTGTGGCTGATGCTCTGCAGTCTGTGGAGGAAGGACTGGGTTTGACAGAGTCCAGGGCTTGGCTCTAGGGTGGAAGTTTTTGGACCTAGGGGTTAGGGAGCTGTCTGGAGACAGAAGCTGTAAAGGATGAATTGAGGAGTGACTAGAAGTGTGCCAGGCTGAGGGCAGAGGTGTGAGGAAGGAAGGCAGCTAGCTTAGGGGTTGGGTGTGCAAAAGCACAGCTTGATGTGCCCTGGGCCTGAGGGCACCATCAGGTAGCCAGGCAGAGGCAAGGTGCAGAACCCAGGGTACAGACGCGGCCCTCCTTGAGCTCTTTACCTCGCTTTGTTGGCTAAGCAAGAAGCTTGGACAAAGGGGTTCCTTCGGGGTTCCTCACAGCACAGCCCAAGGCCTCCCTTTCCTGGTCTTGTTTGGGCGTGACCAGAACATCAGGCAAGAAAGTGGGTCAGTGTGCTCAGGTGAGAAGCCTCCGCTCAGCAAGTGCTCGGCCTCCATGTGGGCATAGGCTTGGACACCCCAGTTCTGTCTGGCCAAGGGGACAGGGCTATGTCCTCCATGCAGGCTTAGTACACGGAAGTGATCTTTGTGTAAAAGTTAATGTGGGGGCCAGGCAGGTCTGCTAGTGAGCACAGGGCATGGTGTGGGCTGCATACCTGCCTCCCTTTGACTTACCCATGAGGCCTGCTTACAGGAACAAGGTAGGGATGGGGACAGTTGGGCCGAGTGGAAGCTTATAGGTAATAAGACAGAGAGACCCACAGCAGTGGTCCCAAGAGGGCAGCACAGTGGCCTGGGGAATACAGGTCTTCCCTCTGGGTGTTCCTGTGACTCATCACTGGGGGTCCCTAGAGAAGCAGGTCACCCTCAGGCCTCCCCCGCCCAGCCTTGCGGCTACGTGCCATCATTGTTTTGCTTCTCAGCTCTGGTCACACGGTCACTGTGACTTACTGTACCCAGCAGAGGGGCAGGAACACAACCAGATCGATGTAAACAGCATAAACCTGTGTCCTCAGGTTACTGCAGGCAGACATAGTGGCGGTTCTGTAGCCCGGCCACATGGGTGACCAGCCCTGGCTCCAGAGCACAGTGATCTGACTTGGGCTGGTAATTAGCCCATATTTTTAGTTCATGGGCAATTCTCAATGGTAGCTGGGTCTATTAAACTCGATTCAGACGTGACAGCTTAAATTGTAAACAGCTGCGAAGAGTTTCATACTTAATTACCGTATTTAAGTTTTACCATAAAGCATGCGTACTTCCATCAAAAAATGTAAATAGCAGAGACATTCAAATGAGATTTTATACTTCGTGAAGTTTAATTGGCACAGATCAGTCAGTTTGGAGATTTTGAATTTTTTTTTAAAGAGTTTTGAAGGCAGTGGCCACTCATTTATTTCTCTATTAAATCAAGTTGTCTGGTGGAAGCTGCCTGAGACTGCGCTTGTTCTGTGATTGAAGGAGTGTAGTGCCCTTCCCTGCATTCCCAGTGCTGAGCTGGTTACCACAGGATGGGGTTAGCAGGACCTGTTAGCAGACCTGTGCCACGGTCAGGACCTCAGACACCATTGCTGTCACCCGAGGGCTCTTTCTGAGCTGTGGCTCTCCTCTCACTGTAGGAAACATTCACATTGGGAAGTAAGCCTATGAGATAGAGACACTTCCATCAGCAGATTCCAGAGGGAGGTGGCCGGGGCTGTAGATCCTGGTGCTGGTGACAGAGGTAGCCGAGGCACCCGCTCATAGGCTGGCCATGTGCTAGATGGCTTTTGTTCCTTACCATCGCCAGCAGTTTGATTCTGCCACCTCCTTCCTTGTGGGGTGTCGGTTTTCAGCGGCTGGCACCCCCAATGCTCTGTAGCTCTGAGTAGTGGGACCGCCACTGTCCACTAGTGGTTCATTCAGGCATGGCTAGGCCCTTTGACTTCTGGCTTCTGTTGTCTGGTCCAAGAGTTCTGTGAGTATAGGGAATCCTCAGATAACCCAGGAGGACTTCCCAGAAGAAGTAGCTCTTACAGTTGGTTTAGGTGTGCCTGAGGGGAAGGAGGGGGTGGTGAGCTGCCATTGTTGGAGGGACTGGACAGGAGATGCTTCATTAGGCTTCAGCTGCCTCTCCAGGGTGTAGCTTCATTATGCCCTAGGCTGCTGTGGGAAATGGGAGAGCTAGGCTCCTGCCCCCTTCCTGAAGCCTTCCAGAGCCGGGCATGGGGTGGGAACCACCTCCCCACCCCCCAGCCCTCCAGTTCATACTTGCTTTTGCTGGCTGACACTGCACCCACCCCCACCCCCATTTCCTGTTTTTCAGGCTCAAGCTGTCACCCTAACTGTAGCCCAAGCCTTCAGAGTTGCCTTTGAGTTTTGGCAGGTGTCCAAGGAAGGTGAGTCTCCCTTGAGGGCACTGAGCATGACCTGAGCAGAGACAGGTAACCAGCCCGGAGTCAGACCTGGGTTGACCCCGCCTGCATCCCCCACGGGGTTTGTGGTTTTGAACAGGTCTTGTTACTTCTCTAAGCCTCAGTTTCCCTCTCTGGACAGAGGCCATCTTCCCCCTTCTTTAGGGTGTTTGGGTTTAAGTGGACTCTGGAAGGCGTTGCTCCTCCTGGATGGAGACGTCCTGTCTCTGAGCATGCTCAGCCTGCCTTACCCCGGAGGTTAAGGGAGGCGGTGTCTGCTGTGAGGCCTCCCTCAGCAGCTCCTGCCTTGATCCCACAGAGAAAGAAAAGAGGGAGAAAGCCAACCAGGAAGGAGGAGACGTCCCAGGGACCCGATGTGACGGCACCCCCTCATTGAAAACCTGTGAGTCTTGGGCACTAAGCATGCCCTCTACCCAGGCCTTCCCTCCTGGACCCTTGCTGTTTCCTTTTTTTTTTTTTTTTTTTTAAAAGATTTATTTATTTATTATATATGAATACACTGTAGCTGTCTTCAGACACACCAGAAGAGGGCATCAGATCTCATTACAGATGGTTATGAGCCACCATGTGGTTGCTGGGATTTGAACTCAGGACCTCTGGAAGTGCAGTCAGTGCTTTTAACCAATGAGCCATCATCTATCCAGCCCCCTTGCTGTTTCCTGTTCTGTTAAATCAGCAACGCACGTGCCTTGTTTGTAGCTAAGAAGGTTTCTGGGTTTGCTCAGTACTTACTGAGGTGTGCCCCCATGTATATGTGTATATGTGTATATATGTATATGTGTATGTATGTATGTATGTATGTATATGTGTGTGTGTGTGTGTATGTGTCTGTGTGTGTGTATATGTATATGTGTATATGTGTATGCATATGCGTTCCTGTTGGTCTCAGAGCCTGGTAGACATCCCAGCCTGCTTGGTGTGCTTTTAGACATTCAACTTCTGTTGGGAATTTGCAGGTTCCAGGTCTGCCCTCTGGGGCCACAGGTTCTCTCTGGTGGGCAACTGCCCTGTAGCGTCACGGGGAGGAGGGTCAGAGTGGGGCTCTAGGCAATCAGGGTCTTAAAGGACAAGTCAGAGTCCAAGAGCAAGTCAGGACCAGTGTAGTGCAGGGATACTGGGATGTGTGCACAAGAGGCTAGAGGGGTTGTCCTTCCTCCTTTCCCCCTGATGTCCCCAACTGGCTCTTCACAGTGGTTGCCACCGGGAACCTGCTGGATTTGGAGGAGGTGACTAAGGCCCCGCTGTCCACAGTCAGCGCTAATACCAACAAGGTGGACGACACACCGCGGCCTCAAGTCTTGGGCAACAACAGTGTCGTCTGGGTGAGTAGCTCCGTGGCCCGGTCATGGTTTTGGGATCCAGTGAGCTTTACCCAGGTGTCGAACAATCCTGGAGTGGTTCCCAGGTCCAGGCCCTGAGACCATGACTTACAGGCCTCTGGGAGGACCCGACCCAGCACAGTATCACCCAGGATCTGGGTGGAGTGGCTGAACAATGTCCCTTCTGAAGCCAAGGTTGTGTCCTCACAGGCCTGGTTCCCAGTACAGCCGTCTCCTCACAGTCCTCTGAATCAGAGTGTCTGTGGCTCTTCCCACTCTGAGCAGCAAAGGCCCCCTTGTTCTGGCATGGCAGGTTTGTGCCTGGTACCCCTCCCGTCTCAGCTGTCCGAGTGCACAGCCCTGCCGCTAGCTCTCAGGACTCATGGCCAGCGCCTGACCTCTATGTCAGCGTTTTCATTCCCTCAGTGAGGACACCAGCCTTCCACAGCATCTCCCGGAAGAACCTGAGTGGCCTTTAATTTCAATTTTCATCTGGGTGGTCGGTTTCAGACCGCATTATTCCAGTGCACCATAGACAGTGCAGATGTTAGCACCCTCAGTAGCACATGTGACCGACCAATGGGACCCTGCTCCAGCATCTTCAGATTCCTTGTTCCACTTAGTCCTGGATAGCCTTCTGGGCCAAGAGCCACTGTGGAATGACACCCAGTGACTGTCATGGTTCCTGCCTGGCCTTTCCTTTTCTTCCTTTCTTTCTGCCTGTTTCTTTTTTTCTTTTTTTCTTTTTTTTTGGAGACCAGTCTCTCTACATAGCCCTGGCTGTTCTGAACTCTGGCCTTAAACTTAGAAATCTGCCTGCCTTTGCCTCCTGAGTATTGGGGCCACAGCCCCAATTTTGAGTCCATGAATTGGGCATGAAGCCTGCCCGTGCTAGTTCTTATAGACATTTCCCCACACACACATACAGGTCCTGGGTCCCTGTAGCTTCCCTGGGGAACACGATCCTACTCAGACTTCTTACTTCTTGCTTTGTTTCCAAGGAGCTGGATGACGGCCTGGATGAAGCATTTTCAAGGTAACACTCTGAGGACTTGTGGATGTGGGCCTTGGGCTGGACCTGGCTATCCTCTACCCTGGGGCTTTAGCCTTCTGCACAACAGTTCTTGGATTCTTCCAGGGACAGGGAGCTTACTACCTAGGAACAAAAACCTTGCAGGGTGTCTGATGTGTGAAACTGCTTTTGTAGTTCAGTCAAAATGCAGGCATGGCTTGAAAAGGCTGTAGGTGAGAACTGGCTTCCTCCAGTTCTTCCGGTTCCCAGTACTGAGTTCTGGGTCCCCAAGCCTCCCTTGTCCCTTTTCGGATGTCCAGGACCTTCCTAGCTTCCGTCTCAGGGCTTTGCTTAAGGTTGGTACCTCAGGCCTCCCTCCTCTCTGCCAGTTCTTGCTGCAGCCAGGGGCCAACCAGCAGGCAAGGCCCTTGCCGAGGCCTCGGGAGCTTTCTCCCACATTCCCAGCTTCACGGGCTGATTCTTCCCACATTTGAAAAACCAGCTTCATCTGCTTTTCTGGAATGTTTGATTGTCACAGGTCCATCCTATCAATTTCATAAATCAGTTCACTGTGTATTTTAGTCCTTCGGCCCAGCCTGGCCCCGTGACTGCTGACCCTGATCATGAATGTCCCTGAGATCTGACAGCTCACAGCCTTGGCCCTGGGAGCTGTGCATTTGTTCAGGACTATCAAAGGCCTCCTTGCAGATGTTTATATACCCCATGATCCCCTCCTGAGGACAGAGCTACCTTGCCCTGACCTCTCCAGGTTGCCATGGACAGTAAAGCAGACAGAACAAACAAACCAGTAATGTCTCCTTGTGTGACTGTCAAGCACAAGCTAACCCCGCTCATGCCAAGTCTTCTCATGGCTGGACATTTCCTGCCTTCGACTGGCTCAGTAGATACCCTGGCTTCTGTGAGAGCAGAATATCACGGCCTGCTCCAGTCCTCTGACTCCCTTGTGCATCCTGTTGTCAGGGGCTATACCTCCCTTGCTAATCTTTGAGTCCGGCCATTTCCCCGCTCACGGCCTCCCTTCTGGCTCAGTGCTGTGCAGGCTGTCCCTGTCCATGGCTCCTGCCAGTCCCTCACCCGATGCTCGGCTTACACAGCTTTGCCTTCCAGGCTGGCGCAGTCACGGACAAACCCTCAAGTCCTGGACACTGGACTGTCAGCGCAGGACATCCACTATGCACAGTGCTTATCGCCCACCGACTGGGACAAGCCCGACAGCAGTGGCATCGATCAAGATGACGACGTCTTCACCTTCTGAAGGCCCGAGGCTGGCAGTACACTACTGGCCTAGACATGTGATGGACCACAAGCCACCTGCAGCAGGGCAGCCAGCTCCAGGAGCCATCATGCATCTGAGGCCAGTGGCATCAGAGCCTACAGATTCAAGTTGCACAGGAAGAGTGGGTAGAAAAATGCCTGGGGTATCCAGTTGGTGACTCCTGGTTTATGCTTGGAAACCAGGTTTGATTCAGGCGCTCATGGCGTGTGCAGGGCGCGGCCTGGCCTCTCTCCTGGAGCCAGGACAATGACCAAAGCGTTGCTTTTTCCTTTTCTCTGAGGCATCCTCACTCCTGAAGCAGTTAAGAGCCTGTCATTCTTTGTGTACTGGACGGGACATGGCTTTCAGGAAAGATGGGGTCCTCAAGCCCGGGTTCCTCAGGGTTGAGTAGCTGAGGCTCTCAGAGGCAGCCCCTGACCAAAGACACATTTAACTCTGCACTTTAACTCTCACGGAATGGCCATGGTTTGAGGCCCGTGATGGTGCTGTGGGAGTAGACCTGCCTCCTGCCCTCCCTCCACAAGAGGGCCCCAGTCCCTGACTCGGCCCATACAGTGCTAGGACCTAGTATACCAGCTGCCCACAACTCTGAGAGTCACTACAACCATGGGGATCACCTCTGTGGCTCCTGAGGACCCCCGGCAGACAAAGCTGGGCCTGCTCTTCTGTTTTGTCTGTCCTTGTATGTGCTCCATTCTCTGCCTCTCTATAATTCCTGGGATGATACCAAAGTCTAGCACTAGGTTGTAGCAGGTTATTTTGCACCCATTTTACAGATAACGAAACTGAGGCGAAACGTGTGTTGGGGAGTGGAGTTGAGAATAGAACCCAGATCTGATACCAAAGCTTCCGTCTGTGCTGCTGCCTCGCAGCCCACGCCTCTTTCTCTTTGGCTTTGTTGTCCTCCCAGGAACCAGAACGCCCCAGCTATTTTCTGACCAAAATGTGTTTCATAACAAACCATCTGGTGCCTTTCCACACGGCGCTGGCGCAGGCCGCCATGCCCTGCTAGCTGCTACGCTGCTGACTTGTGGACAGATGTGTTTTGAAGTCTGTTCATTCCACGGGTGAAACGGAATCCTGCTCTAGAAACATCTCGCTGTCCCTTCCTGACCTGCAGCCCTAGTTGCCCCTCAACTCTTGCTGGTGGTCGGGCGGTCCAGTGTTGAGCTTCCCTTAGTCTTGCCTTTCTCCCTTCGCTGGTCCTGTGGGCTCTGGCATCCTGAACCTCAGCCAAACCACAAACATCTTTCCTTCGCAAGCATCCCCCAGTGGCTGGGCTTGTGAAAGCAGGTCTCAGTATCCCCAGGAAAAACACACTCTTCCTGTGTGCTGAGTCACATATGCCCTGGGGAGGGGACTTGGAGAATTCTTGCTGGAATAAAGGTTGGTAGCTCTCTTTCCCCGGCCGGCTCCAGTCCCCCCTGCTCCCAGCCCAGGTGGCCAGGGTCCAGGCGTGAGGGGGACAGCCGTGACGTGGGGTGGTGCTGTAGTCTTGCTGACAGGTTGGCTGCTTCCTGTGTCTGCTGCCGATGCTGCTGAGTGAAGCTGGAAAGACAGTTCTGAGTAGGAAACAATAAATGTTCCTTTCTGAGTATGCCACCTGGGGTATTGCTGGTGACAAAGGGCAGGGTGGCGGCCTCCGTGTTGGGAGCAGTGGTGTGTCAAGAGTCTGGAGTAGGGTGCTGCGCTAGAATGGAAGGTGATGGCTGGTCCCCTGTTGGTGGACCAGGAGGGTACCTTCCTTTGCAGACTGCCAGTGTGTGACTAGGTCACTGTTGGGTGAGGTAAGACCACGCCAGTGGGCCTGCGAGTAAGCACTCACTGTTTCCGACCATGTGTTCTGTCAGGCTCTGAGCCCCCGAGGCACGAGTCTGAGAGTGTGCCCATGTGTACCCCTGCCCAGGGACGGTGCTCTTCCCGTGACTCCCCAGTGACTCTGACTTGGAGGTTTACCTGCTACTCATGTTCACGACCCGGGCTCACGGCTCTGGTGCATAGCCCATGTGAATTCAAGATGTGTGGCTAAGTGTGAAGGGGGACAGAGACAGAGGGTGGGAGGGTTCCAAAGTCCAGCTACTGCCGTGGGTCACTTACCTGTTTCCTTGAGCCTCAGTTTTCCTGTCTGTAAACAAGGTACAG